ATTCCCATGCACAAAAGAGAACGGTAACAATTTTAGAGGCGATAGTGTTGGATTTCCCCCCCTGCCCTCCTCCAAGCGCCCAGACACACGTTCCCACTTCACGCCCTAGCCACTGCTGCCGCGCGGGCCGTGGGGTCGCCGTCTTGGATAGGAAACAGAAGTTTTTCCTGCGCAAGGGAGAGGGGGTCGTAGGGAAAGGCAGATAGAGAGAGAGAGAGAGAGAGAGAGAGAGAGAGAGAGAGAGAGAGAGAGAGAGAGAGAGAGAGAGAGAGAAAAGAATGCTGATTTCAAGTGTGTGCTCAAGGTGGCTGACTCCGAGGCTGGCGCCCCTCGCACTGCATTCGCTTTCACACCACCGTAAGCCCCTTGCGTGTGTCGCTCTGTACGATTCGCGTCTTTGTAGTGTATACCTGCGCGATACCTTTACCTTTTATTTAATTTTTGAAAGCGATTCCCTGCGCTCCTATCTTAGTTTTCGTCATGCAGGTACGAAACGTGGTAGTTGGTTCAAAACTCCAGTGTGATTTTTGTACACTGTTGCATGACCCTTTTTTTAAACCACCCCTCTCCTTTTACCGGGTACATAGTTGCCCCGCTTGTCCTGCTCTCCCCTTATCATTATTTTTCTATACTCGTTTGTGTGTGAAGGAAAAAAGGAGGGGGGGGGGCAGAATCAGCGGTTCACGCCACATCCGTCATCATGAGTTATCAACGAATCAGCCGCGCACAACAACAGTCGCTTTCTTCTATCCGCGCGCCACTGCGTGTGGTAGGAAAGGGGGGGGGGGGGAGCTAGAGAGACAGATATACAGGAGTCTGTGTGAGAGTAGGAGCGAGTGTTATTGAAGTGCCAGAAAGAGAGAGAAAATAGAGGGAGCAAGAGTTTCCCGCCGCCAGGTGCGTGTTGTTTTTCTCACCCGCCGCGATGATGTGGAAGACGCAGGGGTCGCGCTGGCTGCCCGCGCGGTTGGACGCCCAGCACATGACGGTGCCGTAGTCCAGCTCGGAGAGCGGCGTGTACGAGAGCGTGGAGCCCGACTGGGTGCTCTGGCCGCGCGCCGTGGCGTGGGTGCCGCCCGCGGGCAGCGTGGGCGCCGTGCTGAAGCGGGTCGCCGGCACCTCCATGGCCTCGGCA